TATTATCTGAAAAGCATAATTAGTTATACTTTTAATAATGTTTTATACTACACAATAGATATTAAATGCTTAGTTTATTAATATTCTTTTTAAATATATATTTTGTTTCTCGGCATTCACATACATCTCACGATATATACATATGCATAGCATAAAACTCGAGATAACAAATAAAAGACAATAGAAACTTCTATTCTCAAAAAAAAATTAAGAATAACAGCAGCAAATATAACAGATCAAAGCACTACAAGCAACCGGTCAAACAAACACATAAATGACATCAACCAGACTGTCAGAACTAGCAAATTTTTTCTTAGCATAGTGCCATTGCATAGATACAACATTAAAGAAACAACATGACGCTATTGTTTCTACAATGTTTACACCATTCTTCTTCCCAATAAAAGTAATTTTTATAAAAGATGTTTTTCATCAGAAATAAGGAACCAAAACTCTAACATACCACCTACAATCGCAGAAACATAAGACACATTCATGACAAAACAGCGTATATTACATATTTAACAATTAACGGTACACAATAGTTTAAATAAAAATTTATCAGCATTAGCATTAACAATTTCATATAGTTTCTGTTACGTTTATTTATATCGATATATATTTCTAATATTACTCTTACATTCATGGCTTTGGAGCATATTACGGTAACAATTATTTTTTTTTCTATTTATACAAACAGCTTAACGGTTCCATTGTTTAGGTGTTGGTGGAAATTTCAACAGATAACGGAAACAAACATACAAACAGCAAATTATGCAATCGACAGCTCGCATCTTAAAAAATCAACAACCTCTCGAACTTAAGGAGCTGTCAATCAAAACAATGGCACAACTATTTATTTTAATCATTTTCTCGCAAGAAGAAAACACGGCGAAAACGACAGAAACAATAACGATGGAAAATATAATTTCAAAAAAAAACGGGTAAGAACGGACGTATGGCATTGGGTCAATGCCTTTAAGTTACATCCATCAAACAAGGCAGACGATCGCCATATTGCCCATCTCATGACAAAGAAAACTGTCATACACGCCAATATTATTTAAACAACGACCCACCATTTAAAATTACCGCTAGGCAAACGTCTTACGAATATAGCGACGATAATCTGTCGAATGTCAGTCTGTCTACTTACATGGCAACAGTAGTTTAACCGATTTTAAAATGTTAGCGGTGTAAACATGTGCGTTCGGTCATCCCGCCATCTTTGGACGCTGCCGACGGCCTCGTTCTCGTTACCGAAAGGCACGTAATCTCGCAAAGCGGACGAGACAAGGCAAGCAACAGGCTTCTCGCTCCGTTTAATATCAATACTATTCGAGACTTTAAAAAATAATAGTAATAAAATAAAAAGGCGACACCAAACGGCATAATTTACTTACAACTTTTAAAAGCAATTCTCCGAGATTATAAATAAATATATAAAATAATTTTCACTTTTTAAGTAAAAATTTTTTCCGTGTCTGGCTATTTTGTTTATTTTATTTTTTACTTTTGCCGCCAGGGTCGAGTCGAACTAAGTGTGGAATGCTTATTGGTAAATAGCGATTACGACGGGCGTTAATATAGCAAAAACAAGCTCGAGAAGTATGTGAAATGGTCGCCTTCGGTTAACAAAGTTTATTCAATAGATAACACTTACTTTTTTAAATCGAATATGTCAGAAATTGCTCATTTATTCGGGATAATTTCAACGCCGCTGTTTCCCGGCGTTTCGAATTTCTATAACTTTTACCTAGAATTAGGCTTTAGTTGGCACTAAATCATTTCGTACATCGAATAAATACGCATCTACTAAAGAACAATTTACGAAAAATAATTTATAAACTTTTCGGTGCCTCGTGTTACTAAACAATGAATCGAATCCGGTCACTTTTTACATACAAAAAGTACTTTTCTTTACAGTCGCTAGAGTCCGGATAAAAATGGAAGCGCGAACAAAGACACAAGAGATCGACAACGGTACAAGCAGCTGATACGTAAAACCGGAAATGGTCATGGCCCGAAGCCTCCAGGTGTTTAGCATATCCGGAAGGTCGGTGACACACACCAAGGACGTTTCTTTCTTTCCCGTTTCTATCCCCCTTCTTAGTTTCGATACCGGTTTTGGGTCACGAACTCGAGAAACGTTTGGCTTCTTCCATTCTCAGCGAAAGGCCAAAAAATTACATTTCCGTGCATACTTAAGCATCAAATTTATAAGCCGTGCGTAAAAAAAAAATACACGTACAGTACACTACAAGTTTCTCAAATGAAAAATCAGGGCGATTAATAACCGGGAAATGTCAAAGAAACTCACTTAATTTTTAGGGAAAATTAAGTGAAGAAAAGAGAAAACGTAGCGTAACTTTATACACTCACGAACCAGACATTACACGCGATGCGTGATTTTTAATTATATAGACAGAGTTAAAAGCAACATATTGTAATAGTTTATAATGCAGTATTTGAAATTTGACAATGATTTTTAAAATAAATATTTCACGTATTTCTATTAAACTTCTTAAAATATAATTTACGATTTTAAAGCTTTCGTATTGTTTTTACAATACATTAAATAATAACTATTCAGTTTTATTAAAATGTAACTTAACAGTACATCTGTATGAATAAAATAACAATTTTACGTTATATTTATTTAAATAGTCGAGAGATAATATACTGTAGTTTTGTTAAATATTTAATTCGTGGTTATTGTCTGGATGACAAGTATTTAATCTTAATTAATTAATTGCTTTGCATAAAAATGGAGAAAATATTTATATTTTATAATTAGTAATCAATATTTGTCAATCGACTACGTCGAGCAAAACGGTTACGCTTTATAAACCGAGAGGGGAAGGATAAAATGCTGGATGATTATTCTTAAATAATAAAGAATTATTCGGTTACGGAATACTTAAAAGTGGCAGATTATAAAAAGTACAAACAACGTACGACCTTGATCGGAGTCGTCGACACTCGTCCGCTCTTCCACGGCAAATTTTATAGTTCCGAGTACACGATTTTTCGTGTCGTGTTTTAATAAATAGATTTCCGTATAAATGAAACGGTTAATAATAATCTACGGTTCATAAGCCGATTAATTACTCTTTTGTTTCGCAACCGATTCCACAAAATAACATTTAGTGTCTCTTCTATATATTCCAATTTATTTGGACTTTAGCGTAATATATACACCTATCCTCGGGTTATATTTAAACAGATCGATTAAAATCGCTTAAATTTCTTACAAGTTCTCCAAATACTAAAATTGATAATTTATAGGGAAGAACGGTACAGTACACGACGTTCTCCATTGTTTGGTGCAAAGGTTATGTCGATAGTTGTCTTCGGCAAGTCGCGATAGTCGAACGCTTTATATAAAACTCGATTCTATATTAGAAATATGGTATTTTTGTAGTAGAAATGATGATATATTGGAACGTAATCTCCGCAGCAATACTTTTATTCTAACGACGTGGAAAACTGATTTTTTTCTGCTTCCCTTCATCCGCTACAAATACCAGGCCTACGTGGTCTACACAGTACTGTACACTACTGTAGTGTACATAATGACTAGCGAAATTCGGAGCGAAATTCAACTTTTAAAATACATAAAGCTTTCACATTTCTTATAAAACAAAGGTCGTATTAATTGAAAGAAACGAATTAAATTTATAATATTTCCCGAAGGTATTAAATGTTCCGAGATAAGACGCAACACAATTAGAAATTCGTCTCCGTATATTCTAATTGCCATCAATATAATCATTAGTAGCAAGATTTTAAAACGTGTTTAAATCATTTGTTTCTTCTGTGTTTAGGCCTATTGTTTGGATGACGATTCCGAAGGAACCTGTTAGACTATTCTAACAGGTTCTAACAGGCCTAATAAATACACTTATTGATAAAGAAAGACTAGCCGAATTAATAAGATAATTTCGACGATTTCATAATGTATTTATATTATTGTACGTGAAATTTGTTAAAGAATATTCTTTAAATCTGGATCACGAACAAGTTCTATATTTAAACGTTTTATTGAGTAGTTAAACTCGAACACTTTAGATGAATTGCCTTTCTCCATGCAATTATTCCTTAAAAAGTATTCAAGTTTAAATACTCGGTAGTGTTTAAATATACGTATTTCTGCGGAACAATGAAAAATAATTATATTATCTTCATGCGTACTGTACGTAACAATTTAGAATGTATTTTTTTTAAAATTAACTACAAATTAGATACATAATAATTCGAGTAACTAAGCAATAACAATAGATACGTAATTAACTACAAGTATACGGATTTCCCATGTCTGGAAATCTGTATACAGTACTGTATATTCCCATATGAATCGGCCAGACAACCAGTTCGACGAATTTTTTTTTATAGTTTTTGTAATAATTAATTAAAATATTAACACAATTTTAGGATTTTCTGATGCCGTCGTTCTTCTTTAAATGATTTTCTCGAACGAATCGGGTCAAAAAGAATGCGGAAATTATCAACTTCCAAACATTTCTAAAATTAATGGCGTTGAAAATTTGATAAGAACAACTTAGGCCTAATAAAATTTAAGGTTTTAGCGATTGATTCCGTATCGAAAAATAAATTTAATTTACAGAACGAGTGTATTCTACGATACAGGATAAACACAATTACTGTATCAAATATACTAGAGCCGCATTCGATTTCGTCGATTCGAAATACTGTAGAAGTTACTTTTATTTATATGTATGGTACGTCTGTCTGTATATACGAAGTAACTAAAAAGTAACTTCCACACAAAATTGGAAGCGCTTAATTTTCTAGTAAATAAATACGTTACCGTTAACGACTTGTTGATATCGTCGTTATACAATAAAAACGTTGGTAAGGCGAAAAAAAAGGAGAGGCATTTCTAAATGGGTCATACAGCCATTTGGTTAGAGGTCACGGTCGCTATATCGAAGTCGCTTATAAAATGCATTTTCTCACAAAAGATATAAGAAACTTACCTTCCCGAACACGGGATTATCGTTACGATCACTCGGACAAACGAAATGTATAAATGGTAGATGCGATGTTTTTTTCTTCGATGGTTGTTTTGCTATCTCATATCTTTCTCTCGGTACACAATCGATCCCACTTGGAAGAGAAAGATTTGGTTCAAGGTCGATGACCGTTAGCGACGTTAGCGCCGCCCGACGGTGCGAATGTGCCGAACGCAACGACGCGAAAACCTACTGCGCATTCGGGTATTGTTCGAACAAAGAGCGAAACGCGATTACGGTGTTATTGTCCGCTATTAACGGCATTTAAAATTCTTCGATTGCTTATCGTTCTATTATATAATATCGTCAACGCGTAGCTTACTATTGTGCAGCGCGCAATTGTGTTTCGAACAATAATAACAATAAATAAATAAATAAATAAAACAAACCCGTCTCGCGGTGATGGTACGTTGCGTTTTTCACAAATGATTTGGGTAAGAGACTTTATAAATATGTATAAATACGTGTGACGTTGTCGTATTTCTGGTATTTTAGGCGTTGCGAATTGAACGAATTATTACATTTTAACAATAACAATATCCATATGTATGTGGAGTATTTATAATTAAAATTTAGCAATTTGTATCAATCTAAAACACATTAACGTCAATAATTTCGCATATATTAATACTTGACGCGTTTGTGATGACAATTTAATTTTTAAAGTATGTTTTGTTTTTAAAAAAAATGTATTGTTTAATTCGCGTATCTGAAAATTCTCTGAACTGTAAAAAGCAGATGGAAAAGTAGAAAAATCGAGAGCAAACGCCGGGTCATAGGCCCCCTCATAATGGTATAGCATGCAGAACAGTTGGCCTACTACAAAACCCACAGAACGTGAATGCCCTTTCGTTATAGGCCTTATACAGTTCAAAGAACAGGACGGTATGTGAGTCATCGTTATAAATTTTGCGGAATCACCGCGCTACTAAAAACTAGCCTGCGACTAGCAAACAATAAATTAATAATTTAAAATTCATACAGATGCAATTTCTGCCATTAACGTGTGATGAACATATTTCTAAATAAAATAGAAAAAGCTAAATTTTTTTAATGTACTCGAGAACAACAATAAACACGGAGCCGGGTTCATACATAAACAAACTATAGCTTAGGGCCTCGAACCACGCCTACGCTTTTAAAAGAGAAGAGTGTAACGTAAGATGGCAAAAAATTTAAATCCGTCGCCGAATAAGCTACGTAATTATATCTACGAGACAGATAGATTTCGAGCAATACAATACTCGAAATCGGCATAAGCAACACGGACAAAAATAATCCTTTAATAAACAATGAGGAAGTGCAATTGTGACGTTTCACGAACTGCTAATCCCAGGGCCCCGTGTTTCATTGTTTTACGGGCAGTAAATTATACGTGAAAATAGTATACTGTCTGAACTTGTCATCTTCAAAGATTGATGTGTAGAATATAAATAGAATACTGGCTAATTGTTGATATAGATTTATATATAAAGGTAATAATTATGAAATATATTTAGCCCGAAACCGAACTTCTAACGAATATTTCAATCTAATTAAATCGAAATTCTTGAAATTTTTAATTACGTTCTTCATCATTTTTATGATTTGAGATGCAATATTTCGTACTTTATAAATAAAAATAATTAAATAGTCTATAAATTTTATATAATGTTTATTTTAATTTAAAACATTCACATATCTTGCTAAGAACTTTATTAAATCGATCCCCATTTTCGGATGTAGGATCCATAAAATAAGGATTAAATTTATTATTTTTTGTATATACGGGATGTCCCAAAAATCAGTTAACCGAGATATGTTTTTAAAGATTATTTATTTATAGATAATTCGGTTTAAAATATATATAGGCCTATATATATATATACGATTAACCGACTTTTGAGGCACCTCGTGCAATTAAAAATGTTAAGAGCCTTAAATATTTAGGCTAGATACGTATATAGGCTATATAATAAATAAAGACAATTAAAACATTGCCAAATTTACGTTATTATAAGTATATTTTATGCTTACAAGTAGCCTATACAAAGTTTGTATAGATCTACAAGTATAGAAATTAGCTGGAAAACAGCTAATTTCTATAGGCACAAAATTTTAGGCCAATTTAGGATAGATTTACTAAAAGAATAAATTGTAGGATATTTAAAATATGTTTTAAACAGTATAAAATCTGTAAATAATAAACTGCAAATACGGAGATATAAAGTCGACTGGGACAAAATTAAATATTGGAAAGTATAAAGTTGCATACGTCATCAATTATCCTCTCCATTTTAAGACTGTTTATTCCACTAAAAAACAAATAAAACGAAATTATAATCGATTACAAGCGATAAATAAATTCAAACAACAGTGGAACAATGCATGTTATCGTCTCAAAGTTTCGTCGATTGTCTTCTAATCATTCGGCAATCATCAAATCGGAGATAAAACAATAAATACGGAGATAAATATTACAATATTTACCGAAAGAAAAAAAAATTATTTACAAATATTTTATTTATGATTATTTGTAGAAAAATCTGGAGTAAGCGATAAAGCGAAAAGTTGGGATATCAATGGAAAGTAGACAGCTGCTCCCGGAGCCAATGCAGCTGTCGGGATGTGGGAAGTTAAATAATTGCTCGGAGGGGAAAAATAGAAAAATCAATGAATTCATTCTCATCAGTAGTAATTCACTTATTATAAAACAATTAGTCATCTTCCTTCCAAGTATCTGACACCGAGTTCGAGTGTAACGTCTTCGTCTATTTTATCTACAAATTAAAGGCTCCTAAGAGAGCTCTAATACAGATAAAACAATTTAAAGATACAAAAGTACTCTGTATTTTTATATTACGCGCCTTTATATTATATTATTTACTTACTATTGATCTGTTACACGAACCGGGAATCGTACGCAAAACGTATAGGCTATCGAGAATGTAAAGAATGGGCAAATTAACGAAGAGGAAATTTAAAAAATTCATTTAAAGATTTCTATAGTCATTAATTAAGTTTAAATAGAGATTATTTGGCTACGAACTCGGTTCCTGGCATAAAAAGTGAAAAAATTTGGAAAGCGAAACATTCCCAACTTAGCAACGAGCATTACTGATTCATTGTACTGCGAGATTTCGGTCAAACTATCCCCAGTCGCCTTCCGATCGAGTAGATTAGACCCTGTTCCCGTAGGGTTTTAAGGGGTCGGGTGCCACGTTCTACGCGATATTATCATTTATGAGTCACGAGCAATACTCCCACCGTCTTTTAAATTATTCCCGACTTGTTGGTTACTAACGAGAACGCTGCATTCTAAGAAATAATCCACTTATAATTTTTCAAGTATTTCTACAAATAGAAAATGGCAGAGATTCTCCCTCGTCGTTATTAGTTTTCGAGAAGAAGGAAGAACGATTCATTTTATTTTATTTTATTTTTCCCCCTGTTTTTCTAATGGTAATGGGAATAATTTTATGCCACGTACGAATAATCCTAAGCGAAGAGCATTCTTCACGTAGGAATGAACAATCAAATGTTCCCAGAAAACAATCATTACTTAGATAAATGACGTCAGATGGTCCGTTTCTCGACCGGTATTTAGAATAACAAAGACAATCAGAACTTTAATGCGCTCGCATATTCATTTATTCAAAATATATAATTTAAGTCGATTGATAAAAATTAATTTTAACCTTCGATCTAAAATCGGATTTTTCTCTTACAAACTCCTCTTTCTTCCACTCAGAAAAACACGAAGAAAGTTAGTAAATTTCCTCTTTTTCGCGGTCCAATAGTTAATTAATATCATTAACCTAACTAATCGACCGTGTCGAAAGACACGCAAAAATGGCTCCGGAGTAGCCGAAATGGAAAGTCACAAAGGAAGGTTCGAGAGCAAAACATTCCACCCTGTTACAGCATAAATTCGCCTTAATAAGGGCGGAAGAGAGCAAAAACTTGATAATCCGGCTTCTATTTTACATACTTTAAAAGGCATCGGAGTAAATTAAACAATAGGCAGCTAAATAGGAATAACATCAATAAGTAGCCTACTCGATTATATATTATATTCAGTGGCGCCTTATCCTAAAGGGCAATTGCTGGGGCCTCACCAACAGGGGATCCAAAACCAACCTTTTATAAACTCATTACTGTAGTAAGAATACTAAAATTTAAAGTTGGTTCATATCTAGATTGCCTGTGAGGCGCAGACATCGTAGAACTTATAAAACGAACGATACAGGGAAATTCCCCCCCCCCGAAGAAAAATGTTTGAAGTCAACACTGCGCGAGGAGCCCCCTAATTCAAATTTGCCTGGGCCCCACGAAGTTATAACGCGTCACTGATTATATTAGATTATTGTATATGTAGCATAACGCTTTGCATAGTTTAAAGTATGCAAAACGGGCACGGGATCGACTAAAGCGGAATGGTTAGAGAGTAAAATATTCGAGCAGTAACGAAGAGCAGCGCGTGCGGGGAGGAAGAGGAGGCAGTCGAATGTAGGCTACCCTTTCATCGATCAACTCGACCGTCGAGCGCATTCACGGTCTCCGCCCGTGACCTCATGGCCGTGACCCGATGCGCTTGGTTTTAGCGCATCTGCGCTACCTAACCGTATCCATTCTGACGAAAATAATAAAGAATGGGGGCGGTTCCCACCCTCCCCACCATCGCCGACTTCTTTCTCGCAAACTCGCGTAGGCTGTATCTTATTTTAATCGCGAAATCTTTAGCGATCGATGCGACAAAGAATCTGAGAACGATCCCTATATATTTCTCTCGTTGCCTCTTCTCGCTAATCGCTTCCGAGAATCGAAAAACTCGCAACTCGCCGCTTCTTATCGGCATTAATTAACTCATGTTTTCTTCGATATCGACACGTGACGTCATTAATCTTGTCCGGCGTGACGTCGGCGTCACTCGTCCCGACAATCGCTTAATTTTTTTGGTGGTCTCGTATTAAGGCGAGTCTCTTAATTCGTATCGATAATCGAAACTCGCTTCCATCCCACGTATTACTTGTGAATATTGTCCATTCTTTAATCCAATAAGCGTTAAGGTAATGATCGGTTCGAGTATTTTCCATTTGGCTCTATTGCGCGAGATGGGAAATACGAGGCTCTACTTATTTGTAAGAAATGTTTACAGGCCTCGGAAGGCCTCTAAACATTAGGCCTATTTTTTCCTTTGTATTTCTGGCTTACCGATAAAATTGTCAAATTGTAAACTATATTTAGAAAACATCATACAATTTTTAAGGCCGTTTTAATTTTTCTTAATTAGTATTCTGGGGCCTCTCTCGTACTCCGAGAGGCCTCTTTGGGACGTTTATATATTTTTCGAATTCGGATTTGTAAGGCTATAAATATTCCTTTTTAAGCCGAAAGCGGTCGACCCCGAAAACGAATTTCGTTAATTCTGTTTAGAGAATTGATAATTATAGAATAATTATAATACGAGAATTATAATTATTATTTTGAAGAATTTACTCAGTACAGACATCAATTAACATCTTATTAAAAGCAATTAAAAAAAAGATTTGTCCCGCTTCTCGTTAACCCAGAAGGAAACTTGTAAGGTTTATTCACAGAAAAGTAATTATAGTTACTTTTAAATTCACGAAGTTAATTCGAATTTAAAGTGAATAAATTGTATATTTTTTACTCGATAGAATGTTTAAATCGGTAAGTTCTCGTAGAAAATAGAAAAACGTTCGAATGACTTAACGCTTCACCATTAGCGATTAGGTTCTCGTTATCCTTCGGAAGAAGAATGACTTCAAACGTTATAAAATATAACCTATTGTTAATCTATACTTAGCCTATTAAGGCCGTTATATAGCCTATATAGGTTATATAACAGAAGTGGGAAACTTAACGACCTTCGGGCTACACGCGGTCTTTTGAGGCATCTAGTGCCACTCGAAGTTATAAAAGTACGTTTTCTGTACATCTCAATACATGTATGTCGTTTGTGCCTGTACTCGTGTAATCTGCCACACAACGTGTGACCGCGAAACGTGACGTGAAGCCACGTCACGTTTCGCGGTCACACGTTGTATCGCAGATTACGTGTGAAAACGTGACGTGGAAGGCCACGTCACGTTTTCACACGTTTCATTCATTTCGTTTTCGCATAATTCCTTTATTAAAAAAAATTAATTATTTCTTCAATTAATGTAGACTTAATTGTATTTTACTAAAATTAAGGACCGAAAAACCGACGACGGAACGACATTTACAGCGCTGCTTTGTTTAGTTTAACGTTTACTCGGATAGACTTCCACTCAGATTATTAAAAAAATAAATAAATTTAATTATTCGAAAAATGAGGAAATTATCTTTAAAGATCTCCAGGAAACGTTGATGTCCAAAGCAATATAATGCCTCCAGTTCTAGGAAGAGCGACTTAACACTTAAATCTTTAATTAGAAGTAGAAGAGAGAGAGAGAAAACTATTTTATAACTCGATAATTACACGAGTAGAGAGAGAGAATTATCGAAAAATCATTCCAAATATACTTATTCGTTTCCAATAAATGGAAATAGAA